CACTATGATTTGCATATAGTAGACTCATGAACAGAGATGTTACCCACTGTACTCTGGGCTGCCTTATTACCCTACTGAGCACTTTGGTGTCATTTTATTTCTGGTGACTGTTCTGGAGTCAGCTCATGGCCCACTTCTATGGGAGAGTGGCTACAGTACGAAATCATCTCATTTATAGACAGCTTGTCTAACTGTGGACCAGCTTACACAAAAACTTGGACACTTGGGACTCAAAACGTCTCTCTGCAACTGGGTGCTGAACTTCCTAACAGGGGGGCCACAAAATGTGTTGGTCGGCAGCAACACCTCCAAGACCATCACGCTGAGCACAGGGGCTACACAGGGGTGTGTGCTCAGCCCATTGCTCTTGAGATTGTTGTGGACCTTCAGGAGAAAACCTCTAAAGCATCCCCCACTGACCATCGATGGTGCTGTTGTGGAGAGAGTGAGCAGTACCAAGTTCCTGGGGGTGTACATCTCTGAGGACCTCTCCTGGACCAACACCACCACATCACTGGTCAAGAAAGCTCAAACATGCCTCTACTTCCTCCGCAAACTGAGGAGAGCGCCCTACCCCCCATCATGTGCTCTTTCTACCAGGGCACCATTGAGAGCGTCATCACCGGCTGCATCACTGTATGGTACAGAGCCCATCCTGCCTCCTGCAGAAGGACCCTGCAACGCATAGTGAAAACAGCCAGCAAGATCATCGGTGCCCCTCTGCCTTCCCTTACAGACATCTTCAACACCCGCCTCACCCGCAGAGCCATCAGCATTGCTGATGACACCTCCCACCCCACACACTCCCACTTCAGACTCCTGCCTTCAGGGAGAAGGTATCAGTCTTCAGGCCCACTACATCAGACTTACAAACAGCTTCATCCACCAGGCTGTGAGGATGCTGAACGCTGTCCATTATCTTCCCCCCTCTGCCCCTGGACCGTAACCCACTACAGAACATAAAAAGACCACCCCTGCAGTTTGCACAAACTCAGTACATTTTCCCTTTTTGTTATATTACAGGTAAATCTGCTGCTGACTGTTTTTTACCATCATATCTGCTGCTGTTGGTCATTTGCACTACTGTCCATGTACATTTCATAAGCTATTATTCATCCCATCCCATCAACGCCCCTGGTGATGCTGACCACCTGACAATCTTCTTGTTATTATTTGCACTACTGTCACTGTTTGCACATGGCTTTGAGTTTCTTCATAGCCTATTAGGTTGTACCATCTAGTTTATCCTGATTACTTGAATTCAGTTTTCATATTCTGTTTATTCTACTTTTATTCAATTTTAGTTTCTTAAATGGTAATGGCATTCAACATTATGTGAGAGGGAAACAGTATTTCGATTTTTCTGTACGTCCTGCACATATAGTGAATTGACAATAACAATCTTTGATCTTGATCTTGAATGTGTATCTAACTCTTTATAACACAAGCCTTATGCAAATTTAAAAATCATGATCATAAGTATTCTGAGATCAAATTTTTGTGAGTGGTTTTAATTAGTCAAAGAAACTTTAACCCACACTTCCAATCTTGTTTAATGCTAAAAGTGTTCATATATAAAATCACATGTGCAACAACATTTTGCAACTTATACTTTCACAAAGTGAGATTTTGTAACTTTTACACATTTAACAAATGCAGTAAATAAAGACATCTCTCTGTATGTTTCAGCATTAATGGAGACTCATATAGCATATTCCTTTTTTGAAAATAATTTCACATGGGCATTTCTGTTAGCCCATATGAAACTCATTATAGTTAATAAATTGAATTAATTAATAACAACAGGTTGTTGGAAAACATCCCTTAATAATATGACAACGATTTGAGCCATATTACAAAGTTGGGAGTGTGTAAAATCTAAATTAAAACTGATAACAGTGATGTGTAAATCCTGTGTCCTGTGTTACATTGAAAACAATACAGCAGCAAATTATTTAATGTTATGATACCTCAGCAATTTTATTCTTTGTTCCAAATAAACACTCACTTCAGTTCTGATGCAACACATTCTACACAAAGTTGGGACATTGAAGCATTTACCACGGTGTTGCCGTTCCTTCTCACAACACTTAAGACATTTAGGGACTGAGGACACCAAGTGATTATTAAATGTGTCAGGTGTCATTTTGTCCCATTCTTCCTGCAAACAAGTCTTAAGGTGCACAACAGTCCTGGGTCTGCATTGATACAATTTGCATTTCAAAATGCACCACCCATTCTCTACTGGGGACAGGTGAGGACTGCAGGCAGGCCAGTCCAGCACTCACACCCTTTTCCTCCACTCCCAGACCTTGGTAATGTGCACTATGAGGTTTTGTATTGTCTTGTTGAAATATGCATGGGTGTCCCTGGAAAAGATGTCGTCTTGAAGGCAACATATGTTGCTCCATCATCTCTCTGTATGTTTCAGCATTAATGGAGCCATCACAGAAGTGTAAGTGACCTTTGCCAAGGGCACTGACACAGCCCCAGACCATGACAGACATGGTATTTCAGTTCATGTATTTTTGCCTTATTAAACGTTTATTTGATTTATAAACATTGACATTTAGAAACTGATCCCTACTGATTAGTTCAAAACATTCACTTTACCTGTTTCATATTTCTTTAAATGGGTGGTAGTAGTTCTTATTATTGAATGTTTGATACGGTTCCACTGTTTCACCACAAGGAGGCAGTCTCATACACCAGTTATTTTATATTTTTTGTAAATAAGATCTAACAGAACATAAGTCAATTATATCTGGTTGTTTTTTTACATGATCAAGCCAGTGCTAGAAAAGAGGAATAAAGTATTCTGTAGCTGGTCATACGTTGTCAATGAATTTTAATTGTATTGTGATTGAATGGAATCGTACACACTATATCATGCATTGAATTGTATAGAGAAAAATTCACATCATCCCATCCCTTTTGACTCTCACCATGGCTGGACTGACATTTGGAGTCAGACCAGTGATAAAATGTTACTGCTTCATTTCCCCACATTATTGATGAATCTTCATCTCATACATCTGGAATTCAGAGGTGTTAAACTCCTCTATACTATTGACCTTTTATTTTTTTTTGTACCGCTAATGTTATAAAGCTATTATCTCAGAGTCCACCCTCTTTTTCATCTACATCCTCCTGCAATGACTGGTTTGCGTAAACTAACAGTCTGGATGGGCCTTTTTCTCTTTGGTCTGGAGCACATGGCGTCTATTCCTTCCAATAATGAAATACTGATTGGTCTGACCACAGTACACGTTTCCACTGTGTGATGGTCCATCCCAGATGCCTCTGAACCCAGAGAAGTCGACTTCTGGACACTGTTGACATAGGGCTTCCTTTTGGCACAGTACAGTTTTAAGCAGCATTTATGGATGTAACTACGTATTGTAGTGGCTGACACAGGTGTGTCAAAGTCATCCTGACCCCGTGTGGTTATATTGCTTATAGAAGAGTGATGACTCTTGATGCAGTGGCGGCTGAGGGGTGAGGGATCAGAGACCACGATCATCCAGCTTAGGTTTGGACCTTTACACACTGAAATCCCTGCAGACTCCTTGAATCTTTTAGGTTTCGCACCATAGAGGGTGACATATCCTAATCCTTCCTATCTTTCTCTGAGGAACATTGTTTTTAAACATTTTAATAATTTTATCACACATACAGTATGTTGGCAAACTGGTGGTCCTCAGGCCGTCTTTGCTCGTAAAGGGCTCGGCCTTTCCTGGATACCACTTCTGTACCACATCATGATACAGTCATCTGTTGACATCACCTGTTTCAAATGGAATCAGCATTTCCATTGTTTTACCTCATTACTGGCCCTGAAATGCAGCCAACCCAACTTTGTTTGGAACGTGTTGCAGGAGTCAGAATTGAAGTGTTTATTTTGACCAAAGAATAAAACTCATGAGGTATCACATCAAATAATGTGCTGCTGTGTTGTTTTCACTGTAATACAGGACACGGATAATTCAATTCACTAATTTCAGTTTTAATTTTGACTTTATATACCTTCCCTGATGTTTTTCTTATTTGTGGTTGTATTCAGATTGTAAGTTTTGGGACTTCTAGATGCTGGTCTAAACTATGAATTTATCATGGAATGTCCCATGCAGAAAATGATGGACACGTTTACTGATGTATGAATATTAAACCCCTTAAAGCACAGCCCTCTGCACTGCTGCTAATCATTTAGCCTGCGCCCCACCCCCATGGCCCTTTCACTTCATACCAAATGGTAAGCCCTCGGAGCCAAAGCCGAAAACAGGAAACCTTTACAGCTCTCACCCCCCGCTGGGGGAGTAAATGAATTAGTATGACTGACAAAGACGTGAGATCACCTCGAGCTATGCATTCAATTAACATGACAACTACACAGTGGCCATTTGAGCTTGACACGCAAGAACCTTTTTTTATCCAGACTGGGAGCTGTAAGGAACACATGTCAACAAGCCGAAGGAGGACAAAGACTGTTTAAGGTGGTCAGAGAAACTTAATGGGGGTGGTGGTGGTGGAGGGGGATGGGGGTGCGCCCCCTTTTCCCTTAAAACCATAAAACGTGTCGTGAAATGTGCACGAGACAAACTCATTTAAGGGATAAAAAGACAAAGTATAAAATCTTAAATATAAGCTGAAAAGGAGGCTGTTTCTCAGTGTGGCTCAGATGTTTGGGACCATCTCTCAGAGAAACAATAGTGGGCCCTTAACGCTGATGAGAGATGGAGTCTCCCAACTTTTTACTTTAACGGCAACAAGAACATTTCAAGAGAAAACTCTGTTGCTACCCATCTATTGCTTAAGCTCATCTCCACGCACGAAAACACGAGCGCGCCAGAAGCGCTTTCCCAAGTTTCACAGAATGTGAAGGGACGTGATGCAAAGTCTGCAGTAACTTGACTATGAATAAAATGTCTGCTTGAAGACTGGACTACATCTTGTGCGGTGCAGCAGGACTCGATAGGCTAAGATGTATGAGAGAGACTTACCGTCACATCTCAGATGTAGAAACATGAAAAGCATCCAGAGCCA